GACAATAACGTCACCTTTCTCTTTTTGTTGCCCCTACAACGATCAAAACAGACATAATAATCGAGAAAAAGCGAAAGAAGAATAACTAAATAACTACCAAAAGAAAAGAAACAATTAATTCGGAGGCAACGCAAAAATTTTACCATCTGACATTCATCTATACAGCGGTTTGTTTATTATCTAATGCGATGGTCAAAATTACAAAATAACAGAGAAACACGAAGATGTAATCACAATTACCACGCTTTATATTCGCCCCATTTCAAATACGAATAAAAGAATTGTTTACCCAGCCTCATCTAAACACAGGGAGGCTTGGAGGTTCCGTTTCTTGAGACCCAAATATTGCATTAATACAACTCTTACCATTGGATTTCTTGCAACACCAATTATACTTCAATTTGAACAAAACTAATATTCCAACAAGAAGAGCCAGTGCGGCAACTGAACCTAGCACTGCAGCTATAATATACCATAAGGCACCTAATAGCAGGACATATGAAATATATGTCTCCGTTAACTAAATATAGGCTATCCTTCGTTTAACTACTTCTGAAAAAATAAATAAAACTTTTTTTTCAAACACCAATGCTAATTAGGAGAAACAGTGTATGTCCGAAGGGACATACACTTACTTACTCTTTAAGGTGTTTTAAGAAATGTCAGAATCATGAGCCAGCAAGAACGCATGAAGGTACCTAATAGATCTATACTGTACTGCTGGCGTTAACTGCTTAAAATAAGCTTGCTTCTAGCAGAATTGAAATCATTCTTTGATATCAGCGCTTTATGTGTTATTCATTTCGCCCTGTGAGAATTAAAAGTAGTGTAATCTACAATGAATTTTGAGTCAACATGTATTGGGTATTTTTCCATTTTTAAATTCTGCCGAGATAACAGAAACTCTTGATCAGTAATTTCACTGAGTTCATGTGAAGGTCTAAGAGTTGAGGACGCACGGCTCACTCACCTGGCCCTCATTATTCGCGGTAAGGGATGCACGATTATCTGCCCGCGGGGAGATTTGACCAATTGATTGGGGAGAGGTTTGTTGGAGGTCTAGTAATACTATTATTATTGCCAGACCTGTCGCTGGCTAGAAACTTACCAGCGAGCAAAGAAATGCTCATACTAAGCGATAAAAATGACGACCTGCTCGAATGTTAACCGAAAGTTCCAAGGCAAACCCCTTTCCAGTCCGTCGCCTTTAGCTTTGGTGGTGTTATAGAATGAATGTATTTGTATATGATTTTGAAACTGGGAACAATACACAACACAAATATGACACATACTGAATGTATTCACTATGTTTGTGTCTCCTATGAGTTTTCATGAATCTCATTCCAATTGACTTGCTATTTTAGAACATACCATGCATTGACATTTCTGTGAAATCTTGCCAATCATCAACTACGAGTCAATAGACTTAAAACTTTGTGAAAAGGGTTAACATTAAGAGGCGATAACAAATTCAGACAACTTACTGTCAGATGGGCTGCCGGGTGACGTTGGAAATGGCCATGCGGCAGTGGTTCTTGTTTCAAAATTAACCAGAGATCTTGTCCTTTTTATAGCACTCACACTGAAGTTTCCGAGCTTTCCACCTTTCGTAGCATTACATAGCACTGTGATAACATCTTGCTCTCTTGTTTCAGAATTGAATATGAGCCTTAGGTCAACAGCTAAACCTCTACACCTCGAAAAAGGCACAAGACGAGGATCAGAATATAATATGTGCAAAATAGAACGAGAAATTATACTGATTTAAAAATCGATCGAAGCGGTTCACAAACCTGATGTCATTTTTAAACTCCACTTTTAAACTAACCGTGAGGTTTACCAGCAAAAACCACTTTCATCTATAAAGCAAACGGAACAGAGTAACGGAAATCGAGATCTAAATAGATTGTCCCATACCTTTTAAGACTAACATTCAGTCTGAAGTAAATGAAGTAAATAAATAAATGGGAACTTGCCGCAAGTAGCCTTTTTCGTGAACTACTCCGTAGCCAATTGCTTAGGCTCACTTGAATTGGTGCAATGCTAAATATATAAACCAAATTAAATGCAAAGCTATTCAGTGACATTTGACTTCAGTAACATCGGTTTCTATTTCCTCTAGTACATAACCTTCATCGTAGCTAAAAGAAATATTGTAATCGCATGATATCGATATCTATTCACTAAGCTAATACGCGAAATGATAGGTTAATTAAAACAATAAAAACTTAGACAGCACTTGTGATTACTGGAATGTTTTTTTGCGTAAAATAGGTATATCCAACATACACTTACCGATACGACTCCACAAGATAAGATAAAATGAGACCTTTATCCAAGTGTCAAAGATACTGTAGCATGAAAGTTAATATAATAGGGAATGCTAAAATACTATTTACTGTATACCTACTCTATAAGAGATAAAACAAAAGTTGAGTAAAAAAAACCCTAAGTAATAAACCCTAACCCTAGGCTGAACGATCGAAAAACTAATATCGCTAATATTTATGTATTTTTAAGTTAAAATGTGTATGAAGAGTAGTCAGCTCCAGATTCTTCGCTCATAAGTTTCCACAGATCTGACTGTTTTACCCTGCCTATAGTTCTTACCTATTTTGGTAATCTATAATTTGTCGATCCGCTCGAATAAACAAATCGTGAAGATGGGTTGACGATTTGAAAATTTGATCATTATCCTTAGAATGTATTGCGAGAGGGGTAGGAGAGGGGTACCTCTGTACGTTTTTTCGAGTCTTTCGATTCACCCGATTGGGAGTTACAGTTCGTAGTTCAGTCGTTGATTGCATCTTATCAGTGGGACTTAGAACCATGATAAAATAAAATTTTGATGAGATTTGTACGAGAAAGGTACCTTGAACAATAAGTTGAGTTGTTTGGTTATTTTAAACAACAGCCCATAACTCGCGTGGCAAAACAAAAAATGAGGCTAATATGTGAATTGGATCGTTCCATGAGCACAAACAGCAAAGAATCACACGTCTTTTCTTTATATTTTGAACAACACACAATAACTTGCGTAGCAACACAAAGGGGCTAATATTTGCTTGTGTCGGTTTATAAAAACAGGAAGCAAAGAGTTAGGCGTCCTTTCTTCTTCATATCTTGAACTACACTCGATAACTCGCGCAGCAAAACAAAAAAAAAAGAGGCAAACATATTCATGCATCGTTCTACATAATGTATAAGCACAGGCAATAAAGAATTATACGTTCTGACTTCTCCATATTTTGAGCAGCACTCGTTAACTCGCGCACTATAGCAAACTTCAAGCTATTATGTGTATGTGTCTTTTTATATAGATATCGAAGAATCACACGTCCTTTCTTCTTCATGAATTTCGAACAACACATAATGCTCGCCTAGCAAACGAACAAAGAGGCCAATACACGTACATTTAACCATCGTTCAGCACAGGCAGAAGCATTTTCGCCCTGACTTCTTCATATTTTGAGCAACACTCAATAACTTTCACAGTATAAAAAACAAAAGGCCAATATGTGCATGCGTCATTCTATAAACACAGGCAAGGAAGAATTGCACGTTTTGACTTCCTAGGTGGCTTCCCAGAGTATTTACGAACACATCTCCCTTCAGAACGCGAGCTGTGAAAGGAAACTTGGATAAATTATCCGAAAGTTTTCCCGCATGAGATTTACCGGTACGGCTGACGTTGTTCTGTTCAGTTTTTAGGAAAATACCATGGTATTTCTGTGAACTTGAGGACTCTAAAGAGAAGGTTACGTGAGTACGGGTTGAGAAAGAGAAATGAAGTTCATTCAGAGCACGAAGTTCGGGAGATTATTTAACGTGGAATCGAAGGCCCTTCATCACTTCTTTTCCTAAAAACTGAACAACAATTTTATAACGAAATCCTCTTTCAAAGGAATGTTCAATGGCAGATCTCTCATCTAACGAACAGTGCAACACATTTTTCTGTTCGGGTCTCTTTAAAGTTTCACATCGACGGCAGAATAGCTCATTACCCACAAATCCCTCTCAAAATGTATGGCAGAACATCGCAATACACTTGGCACTGACTACTGGCGCCATGCAACTGCTTTTTCTATACGCAATCATAAGTGGGCGGTGACGATCAGTGTTATCTTGGCCAGTTCTTCTCGCCACGAACCAGAATACATATTCATCCTTGACTTGGTCAATGTGGAAATGGGATTCCCTAACAGGGGATGCCCCTTAAGACTTCAACGCCATGGTCAAAAATGGAGACTATTTATTGAATTTTACAAGGTTGTACAACTCAGAAACTTTATTCCGCGCTTTCTGACGGTTCCACACAGAAAAATATATCAAACTAACACGAATATTTGAGCGAGAAAAAACTGTCTTAATAACTAAAGAAAAATGTCTTTGTTCAGTCATTAGCTTAATTAACAACTCCTTTGATTTAGAATGCAATGCAAAAAACATGCGTCAAATAAATTTGTCATAACAACACTATTATTCTTATAAATTCCCCAACGACTGATTTTCAAAAGGAATTACCGTTTCCCTGGGGCTTATTCTGGACTTCGTTCTAAATTACCTTAGTGACACAACTTTCTTATCTAAAGAACAGGTTCCTCAACAGTTAATCTTCAGCGTTCACTGTGCTAAGTATCTTTTCATACTTTGTCATTTGGATTAGGTTCCGAAAAGGAAAGGGCAATTCAAGCAATTTCTGTGTTTTTTTAACATTTTACACGAAAATAGATATTCACTCTCAAAATTAATTTTAATTAATATCAATGGCAAAAAGTTACGGGAGGCTACTTTGATATGCTTTTCCAAAACATCGTTCGTCTTTTCAAGACAAACATCAAAAAAGATACACTTAAAATTACATGAAAGCTATACTGTTCCTTGCTTCGCTGTTAAACGGCCTGTTTTGTATCAACATCGAATAAAGGTTTAACTTTAAATACACGGAGAAAATAGCATACGATCTCATAGGGCTGCGAGACTTATCACTCCATCCTTTGCTCCATAAGAATGCAACCGCTTACACAGCAAGATCGTCAACATTAACGTAGAGTCGATCGTCTTAATTCTTTAAGTTTATCAGCTTCTGCAAAAAATGGGGTGAAAATCAGACAATCTTAATCGCTCGCGATACAGCCTTTTTTTTAAAATGAATTTTTATCGTTCGTAAAGGGCATTTTGTTGATGGCATTATAATTGGAAATAAGCGAAATGAAATAGACATGCAACATGACTTCATAGTGACGCCATTATCACATGCATTTAACAGAGATGATTCTAAAATTCAACATCAGAAAAAAAATAGAAAAAGGTAAGGAGTATTACGGTGTGATTATTTTACAGACCAAACTAAACGCTTAAAGAAGTACACTGGTACTAACCTTACTTCACATCTACTTTGGGTTTTCACTGATAGATTCAGAGAATTTCATGAAATAAGAACGAGCTTTGGAACTTGTGCAAGGACACTGGGTGGAATCCTGGTATATCATTGTTACCTCATAATTTAGGCAAAGTAGCATCGAAACTTCCGTGATTTTCATAAAACATTACGATACACAAAATCTGCCGATTTAAAGCTGACGATAAATTGCGTTTGTAGGTCCGCGTAAGCTTAAAAAGATCAAAGATAGCTCCACGAATCTACCTTGCGCTGATTTTCCATTTGTTTGAGTTCGTTCCTCAGATTTTCAAAAGATGGTCTCAAGTTAGGGTCGTTATTCCAACAGTTTGTCATTAAGTCATACCTGAAACACAAAGAAGTCAAGGATATATCATTATACGTTCTTACTGCCCTCAGTTAGGATGCTGTTAGGCACAAAATTTTGCAATATACGGTAGGAAAGCTTGTTCCTTTCTTTAATGATCACAAGAAACAAACTCGTCACTCCAATATTTCCCCTAAGTAGGCTCATTCAGAAAGAAAAACTGGTTTAATTTTGAGCTTTGCATGCAACTTTCATAAGAAGAACTTTGAAAATAAATGTTACTGCTATAAGAACGTAAAAAAAAAGCAACAAAACCAACAACAGCACAATATTTTCATACAACTTCTCATCCACATGTTGTGGTTCAGGCATTCTGTAGCTCTCTTCTAGCAAGTTTGCCATTTTTTTTCCATCCATCCTTGGATACGGCGAACCACATGAAATAAGGCAGGTACTCTGAATACACTCCTCCATGAAGGGCGTAACACTTGTAAATACATTTTTACAATATAATTCCTGCACCATTGTTCCTCGTTTTGTTTTTTTTTCCAATAAGTTCAGAGACTGAGGCAATCTAAGGTGGCCTGGCAGTTACAAACACAAAGGCAAAACTGAATTCCTCAGAGAATGGTACACCCTGCTTACTTCATGATCACGTGTCAACACAAGTGCTAGTTTTGTTGACACGTTGACACTAAAATTAATGGTCTGGTTATCAATCTCGCAACTTACCCATCGTGAAGATCTCATAGAGGAGAACTCCGTAGCTCCACCTGTAAAACAAACAAGATGCATTAAAGCAAATAAACGTTCTCGTCCGTACCGCTAAAAAAAAAGGAAATTAAACATCTTCGGCAAAACTTCGTGGGATGCACACTAGACTCGTTATAGGAGCGGGACCTGGACCTTTACTTACAACTCGAAGCCAGAAAGGGTATTACCACCCCTTCTTAATAAGATGCCTCCACATCTCCACATCAATTAAGAAAAACACAATGCTTAACGTACAAAAGACATCCAATCACTTTTCTCAATTTGCTTATGGACCTTATGATGCCCTTGTACTCACACATCACTCTTTGTAGAATATTTTCCGTACTGCAATGCCTCAATGGCATTCCATTTAACAGGGAGACGTCCCTAAATTAGAAACACATAGAACTGGTTGGCGAAACTGAAGGAAAGATCGTGATCAAGGATAAACCGGACTTTACCGATAGAAGACTGTAAACAGATCTCTAGCTAAGTGAACTAATTTGATACCTTAGACTTTCGTTGATAAATGTTGTCCTCTTGCACATCCCTGGCCATACCAAAGTCTGTTACTTTGCTCTTTTCTTCTTCTCCCACCAACACATTACGAGCTGCAAGGTCTCGATGGATAATCTACGACAATTTAAAAAAAATCATTAATGTCAATGAATTGAGGGGTCCAGAATAATTGAGCGAAAAGAATGTAAAGTTATGACTTATGTCCGATTTCAGCAACACATGCCAAACAGTTCACTAACTAAAGATACCGTTTCTACTTACTGGTATTGATGACAAATACGACATTCCATCAGCAACTTGCCAAGCAAACTTCATCAGCTGCTCTGACGTCAGATTTGTTTGTGGTTTGATATCCGGGTCTTTAAAGTAAGTATCATTTAATCCACGGCTCTTTCTGAGGTATCCCAATAGATCTCCATAGGGAACGTATTCAATCAACACCATCAATGGCGCTGTAAAGTATGGTAAACATGAAAAATACGCTTATAGTAAGCACGAGATTTTGGGTATTAAAGTATACTTTTTCATATTTACCAGATTTCGTGACACATCCCAGAAGTTTAATGATATGTGAATGAGCATCGAGTTCCTTCATCAATTGAAGTTCGGACAACAAGTCCTTCCTAATGTCAGTTGATATTTTCTTTCTGAACGAAAATAAGTGGCACATTTCCTTCCTAACTTTGGGCTCCGTCTAACGCCACGGTTGTTCCGACGTCCAAAAAAACGATTTTAGCGAGAGATTTTCGCTTTTTCGCCGCTCTTTTATCAGAAATGGATTTGGGTAATACTGATTCAAGGGAGGGGGGGCATAAGTTTTTGTTTGAGAAACCATGTAGTATGTAGTAAAATCTTCCGATTAACTTGTCTCCATGAGCAAGGTTTATTGTGAATTTGACATCTCGTAATGGTCTCGAAATTTTGAAAACATAACTATAAATCGCCAAGGAATAACTCAACTGAGCCGTTTTTTGTACGTGTGTTAAGTCTTCTTCTAGCGTTTTTCGTGGCTTGGTAATACAAAAGAGCGCTAGAAGAGCTAAAATCGGCTCAAATCTGAACCCTTTCTTCTGTGACGATGAGTGATACAAATTGGTCCATTAAGGAGCGATGCACAAGCGATGATATGTCCACAGTTTCTGCCGGAGTTTCCGTGATCTTGCTTTTCCTGACAAGGAGTTCCTTCAAGGAGTTCTAGAAGAAAAGTTGTAGCTCAAAGACTTTTGAATTTTTCTCAAACAAACTTTCACTTGAACGAGGGATTTCCTCGTGTTTTCCATCGCTTATTTCATCCTTTCAGAGAACAACAGCTCGGTAAAAATAACTCCATCTTCTGGACAACGACTTCTCTCCTTAAGGGAGATATATTTTCAAACGTCGTAATTTGTTAATTTAAATATGTTAACAAGCATTAAAACAGGCTGTACTGTATAAATACAACTGAAAAGACTTAAATGAGTTATTTCCTGACGATTCCTGGCTAATTTTGTAATATTTCGAGGCTATTAAGCGATGACGATTTCACAATAGACCTTACGCAAGGAGAGGAGTTTTTCGGTATTTTTTGGAAAATATTTCTTGGTAATTCTAGCAAAAACTTACACTTCCCACGTATCAACATATCTTTATCCAAATATAATAAAACTGGGGCGAAAAGCTCTTATCTCTCGCAAAAATCGCTTTTTTGGGCGTCAAAACAACCTTTCGCCATACGTTTCTTATGGCGAGTTACAACGCAGGCTAACCAAGGCTATAAATAGTCCTTTTTTTCTCTTAAGCTTATGGGAACTTGTACTTACGGCAAGATCCTCCATAAATTCAACAATTTCTTAGCGAGTAGAAAGTAGAGAAAACAAATTAAAGGTTAAGGCTTCGCCGAAACATTTCTATTTACGTAATGATAACGGTGATTTAAAAGACTCTTTGCAAACTTTAGAACAGCAATCCAGGCAACCAAATTGATTTGAGAAAGAGGGAGCAAATAATTATTAATCAATGCACGGCTTGAGATCTCGACCAAAGTCTGTGCTTGAAAATGCTGCCTAGCCGGTAAAACAACATATATTTGTGAAAAAATTTGCAACGAAGCTAGGAATGTACTCCACGACCAACGAATGCGTTACTGTGCCCATTGGCAGAGGTAGGAAAATCCGTACTGCGCTACCAACCAATCAGATTGAAGGTTTCGTTACCTTGCCCTCTTGGAAAAAAACAATGATATACTGTATCGTACCCTAATAAGGTTAGGAGTTCAAATCTTTAAGCGACTTACATCAAGTCCGATTTCTTCAGTTGTATCGCTGTTTGTCCTAAAAGTAAAAAAGAATGTCATATTTTCTCTCGAATCTGAATTCAATCGGATGAAACACTTTGAAGATTTTTTCAACTGAGAAAGCACACCTCTGGGTACTCCATGAGTATTAGTCATGAAACGATTAGTGACAGCATGTCGCGTTTTGCGCCTCTGTATTGACTCATAAAAAGGTTTCATAAACATTAAGAGCTAGGCATCTGTGGCTTTCATTAAGTGGACTAGCTCTAAGATAAGATCATTATACCTGGATAGCCCACACTCAAAAGGTCTCGTGAGTAGTCCAAAAGTCATCACGTTAAGGATGCTCCAGGAAATTTGACTATAGATGAAGCCCTTGCTCTGAGCTCAACTATCATAATCCATTCTTGAAAATAACACAAATTCACAGTAGTATACAGTTTGCAATTATTAACAAAAACAAGACATGAGATTGGACGATACTTAATCATTATTAAAATCTCACCTTTCTCTTTTTGCTGTTTCCAAGACGATGAGAAAGAACAAAATATGAAGAACATGAAAAAAAAAGTATACTGAGAAGATAGGAAAGAAAAACCAGCTCGACAAGAATATAATGAGAAAGCTAAAATTAACTCAAATGCAATGCAGAATGATGTCTTCTGACATTTATTTCATTTTATACATGGATAATTTAAGTAGAAAGCAATCAACAAATCTTGGGCAATAAATAAAATTACAAAATGATAGAACCCGGTCAAATGAGAGCATAAAATCACGGTCGTAAATTTTTTTGAAGTGTGTGTATTTTATAAACGCAAGAGATCATAAAGGAGATTTGCGGTATTCACCTAGCCTTACCTAAACACGCTGAGGCTTTGAGACTTACGAAGGATTCATTTTAAGTTAATAAGTTTGTAATCGATCTAATAATTTCGTTACATCTTTTACTGCTAAATTGGACGACAGCAACTTTTTTCCTTTTGAAAAAAGGGATTTGTTAGAGCTGTTTCGAAATCTTCAAACTTGCCTTGTTTTTAAATGAGGCTACAGAAAACACAAACTGTTCTTGGTTGCTTGATACTACGTGATTTCTGTTGTGGGCCAAAGTTTGCATTTTAAATACTACTCTTTCCATTTGAGTTCTTGCTGTTACGCCTTCTTGACTTCCATACAAGAAAGACAAATATTCCAGCAGCAACAACCAGTGTGGAAATTGATCCAACCACCGCACCAACAATAATCCCTTTGGCACCTGGAAAACATGAGAAGAACAACATATCAGTATATGCCTCCAAAAACTATATGTTTGCGATCCTCCGCTTAACCATTTTAGTCATGATGCCTTTTTCTACGCGTACAACTTTTTTTTATTCAATTTACGTCAAATTACTCAAAAGCCTAATAAAATGTGAGTTTGATACCCACAGGAAGAAGTCCAACTAAGTATGAGAGCTAAATTACAGGCATTCCACCAGTACCCTTCCCTTACTTACTCTTTATGACGTTTCAAAAACAATTAGAATTAGGGGCCAGCAAAACATATGAAAGTTCTTAGGTATGCACTGCACAACAGCCGATAAAAGCTTTTTTTATTTACTTGTCGAGGTTGCATTTCTATGATTCAAGCAGTCTGTATACAGTACATACGTGTACGTAGAAGTAATTTCTCAATCATTTCTCTATTATATCAGTGCCGCATGGTTTGTGAGAAATAAATGTAATGTAATGTACGTTGGGTCCTGATTTCAATTGTTTTACTTTCTTAGCAAGTTTGTTACTATTATAGTACAAGTTCTTTATATTTCACGGAAATAAAAGCAAGTCCCATCTATTACTTGGCAAAGTTGATGTAAAGGTCTGAATAAGACACCGAGAAAGGCAGAAATAAATGCCAACCACATCGGTAAGAAGGCCTATCGTTCTCGCGACATTTGCTTGCTGTAGCAAAAAAAAGTATGGATATGTAATAGTGGCACTGAAAAGTGCACGGGTTGATTTTATTGGATGAGATCTTGTGCTCTTTCTTTCTCAAGGAATATCGCTCTTGCTCATGAGCTGGCGGAGTTAAGAAACAAAGGCCTTGCGTTATTGTTTACGCTATTGTTTTGTTTGTTTGTTTTACATCATAGTTTATCCAAGGGCATATCCCTTCCTCACCCTGCTGCCCATAGCTTTTGTAGCGTCATGCAGAATGAAACATTAAAATGCATTGTATGATGTTTTAAAAAAATCAATACAACAAATTACTTTAACATGGACAGCATACATAAGAAGAATGTTCCAAATAGATGGTGAACATACTTGTAATTAAACCCTTCCCTAATTAACTACTTCACTGGGGAGCATATGAGGGATAACGATTCCTGTGAGATTTTGCTACTGATTAACTACAGTGTATATATGTACCAAAAGACTTAAAACTTACTGCCAGGAAGCGTTACTGTGCCTGCTTCAGTAGTTCCAGTGTCGAACTTGCGATCTTGTCCTTTTCGTTGCACTCACATTAAAGTCTCCAAGCTTTCCATCTTTGGCAGCATTACGAGGTACTGTCATAACATCTTGCTCTTTTGAAGAATTTAGATATATGAAAATTCACATATTTGCACTGCGGTGGAGAGATGAAATTAGAAGATCCTCGCAGCTAAGAACACTACTGAAACTAGTAGTTGTAAATAGGACCTGAAAAAATTCAGGCCCGTACGGGATTTGAACCCATGACCTCTGCGATACCGGTGCAGCGCTCTACCAATTGAGCTAACAAGCCAACTGGGAGCTGGTCAATGAATTGGGTACAAATAAACATCCAAGTGAATGAAGAATTTATCTAAATTTATCGCAAGGAAGCAAGCCTCAGAAATTACATCGGCCACACTTTGAGTGAACAACTAAAAGCTTGCTCTGATATCTCTTCGATGCCCCCAGGGGCAGGCCTTCTCAGTCACAGCAGCCGAGTTTTAGAGCGCCGTCACCTCGAACAATCTTCATGTTCCTGTGAATCGGCTGTCGTTCAGTCAGAAAACAAACGCTTTGAACCGTTTGT